CATCTGCTCCATCAGGACAGTCCTTGTCTCCATCACACTTCCATCTTTGAGGCACACACATGTGGGAGCCAGGACACTGGAAAGCCTCTGGGCTGCAGGTCTTGGATTCTATGCCAACATAATGGGAAAGTTACTTTGTGCTCAAGATTTCCTGATGTTATATCACTGAGTACAATGTCTCAGCTTTGTGTGGGAGAAAGTTCTTTTAAATTGGTGAGTGAAAGTAATAAGTCACTTACTGCATTTCTGGTCCTCATCAGAACCATCACCACAGTCATCAGAGCCGTCACACACCCAGTGGCTGGAAATGCAGCGGTGATTTGCACATTCAAACTGGGTGGATGTACAAAATTTGTCTGCAGGCAAAGGCAAAGAAAGCTCAGCACTTTGGAGAAATGACTTGATTTACCGAAACCGTAAATCCTGTTTGTCTATGTGCCGTGGAAAATCTAAGAAAAACAGTTTGCTTTTTCTGGCATGCTTTGTGTTTTCTATAATAAGGGTAAGGGAGGACTCTGCCACAACTCGGCAGCAAACTGACCACAGTGCGTCTCATCTGCTCCGTTCTCACAGTCGTTCTCCTTATCACACGTCCAACTCATAGGGATGCAGCGACCACTTGGACAAGCAAAGAAGTTGACTGGACATTTAAGCTTCCTTTTATCTGCAAGCCAACAGAGAGACATGTTGTTAAATGTTTGACGATTTAAAAAGAGGCCAAAAGACTTTTTAGAAAGAAAACAAAGTCCCCAACCTGGGCAGTTCCTCTCATCTGAAAAGTCTCCACAATCGTTGTTGCCATCACACACCCATGAGGACAGATAACACAGGGTAGTCTTCTCACAGCTCTGGAAGGACGCTCCTTTCACTCCCAAGCGGAAGAAACGGGAACAATCAGTCGGTTCTAAGAAAGACAGTTTAAAAAAAAGACACTTACTTAAAAATGTTAACTAACCCTAAAGCCAATTTCCCTATGTGAATCCCATTATTTAATCCCTGTCTCCCAATCACAAGAGTAGATTACTTACGGCAGTTCATTTCATCCCCGGCATCCTCACAGTTGACCACCTGGTCACAGCGGCTGAAATTGGAGATACAGCTTCCATCTTTACACTGGAACTCTCCTGGTTTGCACAACGTCACTGCAGGAGGCACAAGAGTGTTCACAATTGGGGAGCTAATACAACCTCCAAGGCAAAATGCAACTATCGCCTTCTAAGTCAACTTCACAATAACTCCAGTACTATGTCCATGTTACAAAGCATTTGATAAGCTTAACAAGAGAATTCAAAAAAGGCATTAAAGATAACATCCAAGACATGGATACAGGGCAAACATGGATTCTCTATGTGGATCTATCACAAGCTAAACCATTTTAACACCATCAGCAGTCATCAAATCGGACAAAAATGTCTTACTGTTGCAAGGAAGTTCATCCGAGTGGTCACCACAGTCATCTGTGCCATCACACCAGAACTGGTGGCCAATACAGCGGCCATTCATGCAGCGTCTGTGGCCTTTCTTGCAAAGTCGATTGGCTGTTGGGAAACAGAAGTTGAAAAGAGTGAGCTGAGGTCCTTGGTATGGACTTATTTAAAGGTTACATAAAAATATATTTAACTGATGAGCTCTCATGTAAATTCTGCACTAAAGACTGTAAATTCTAGCAAGCTCCAACTTTGTATATTTTCCCTGATAAACTTTTCTTCTAAGCAATAAAACAGACGTGTAAGACTTCTTGCTCTTCCTCAACCTAATATATATGTTTGCTTATTCTTAGCTGCTTTGAATATGACCCTCGGCTAATTATCTACAAATGGTGTTTAATGAATGATGACCTGTGAGAGACAAAAACTCACCACAGTAGGACTGCTTTTCATCAGATTTGTCCTTGCAGTGCGCCATGCCGTCACAGGTCAGGCTGTAGTTGATGCAGTCACCGTTTCCACACTCAAAGTCATCCACACTTCCACACGACATGTTGAGAGCTGGAGAAGGAGTACATTGTTATTTCAACAACATCTACTGTATATTCAGAGGACTCTTTGTTCAATTGTGTGCTAAAATGACTCAAGATTTTCTCTCTTACAAGAGCAGGTGTTGTCTTCGAGGAGCTGCCTATCTCCACGGCAACTGCAGTTGACGCGTCCATCAGATGTGGGCAGACACAGGTCTTGGCATCCTCCATTATTTGTTCGGCAAGGAGAGAACTCACCTAAGGAGGGAGAAGTTATGTCAGGTGTTATTTATTATTGGAAAAATGTTCCTCTGCATGTCGAAGGATTTACTGAAACACCAACACAATGTAATGTATCTCCTGATATAAATTCACTTCACTTACCAAAATAAATGAACTACTCAGCCTAGACATATTCAAACCCAGGCTTTTATTGTGTGTAAGACTTTAAAGCTATGCTAGAAGTACTGTTATTGTAAACGCAACTACCAGCAGGCAACATGCTACCAATGCTAACATGCTAGTGTTTATCATGTAAACATTTACCATGTTAACCTTCTTACTTCAGCAGGCTACTATTTTAGAAACAATTGAGGCTGATCGGAATTTCATACATAAAAGTATGTAGTGATGATATTACAAAAAAGTCAGGGGAACAGTAAAGATATTACAGTTAATCCTGAAAGGTGTCGTTGCCACATTTCAGGACAATCTTTACTTAACTTGGTGAGGCATTTTCTGTCTGAATTAAAATGCTGGACCGACATGGCTATCATTAGAAGCACAATACTAGCAGAGCCAAGAAACACAACAAAGATGATTTTTTTTTTAAACCTATTTCTAAACAAGGAAACAAAGTAATTGAGGGAAATAACCCCAAAATGTTTCGTAGAGACTCCAGTGTAGAATACTCACAACTGTTGGTGTCATTAGCCACAGCAACAATTCCCATTGGCTGCTGAGGGATGTCAGCCCGCAGCACCTTCATGTCTCCTCCCGTGTATTTGTCCGCTCTGAGCACAGCCCTCCTCACCCAGTCAGTCCAGAAGATATAGTCTCCATACACAGCCAGGCCAAACGGATGCACAGGCTCATTCTTTAACAAGACCTGAGGCAGAAAGATTTAGCCATTATAGTTCACAAAACACTGGAATACAAGTCATCATTTTATGCAATCTTCTTTGTAGCTAAAGGAAAGTCAAAAGGTCTTTCTTACATAACGGCTGCTCCCATCATATTCACAGCGTTCAATCTTGTCTAGCGTGGCGTCAGAGAAGTAGAGTTTTTCAGCTCGGTGATCTATAGCCAGGCCGTTGGGAGTTCTGATGTCACTGCCGATGATTATGAGTAAATTGGCTCCATTCAGAGAAGCCCTCATAATACTGGGAGCCTGTTCGTTCCAGTTGGTCCAGAACATAAGGCTGTAGTGAGAACAACAAAAAAAAAAGGACACGCATAATCATGAGGAGTGGGGGCTTTTTTTAATGTCTTGGTACAGAGGTTATGGTTGACTGAACAAAAAGAAATCTGCCATTAAAAAAAACAAAAGAGAAATAGTTTTGGAAGTGGGCCTCAACACAGAGCTGACGACCAAGTTTTGATATCAATCACTTACTCTTGACACTCGTCCAGCACAAAGGCTCTGGGGTGGTCTTCTCCAGACATAGTGACCACATTGTCGCGGTTATAGGCCACAGTGCGGCTCTGGTCCACTGTGTGGCGAGTGATTGTTGAGGTCGTGTAACTCGTCCAGTAGAGGGTATCCCAACCACGGTGGTACGCCAGGCCCTCAACTGACCCTACATCTGTGGAAAGAGGGGGGAAAGGGTTGGCCAGGGGTAAATGTTTTGAACCATGAAGGTTTGCTGACTATAATCCTTTTTTGTGGTAATGCAGCCAACAAGCTTGAGGAGAACAAACTCTTTTTATTTAGCTTTATAACAATATATTCTCTCAGGGGTGTAGCTTTGATAAGGAGCTTAATGTTAGAAATCCAGAAAACAACAAGTTGACCCCATAGGAAACTCTGTTAGACTTCATTAAAGAGGCTGTGTTGAAAATCTTTAAGGTTATTCAAAATCTTCACACACCAGTTCATGAAAGCTGCAACACTGTGAGAGAAAAAGGAATAGGTTGAAAAGAAAAGTGAAAAAGGACGAGTGAAATGGAAGTGGAACCACACTGAGCAGAGTATGCACCGTGCCTGCTGTTCCTGGAGAGAGTTTAAGGAGTGCGTATCATCCTGTCATTTCATGGCTGGCTGCCTGCACATACAAATACCGCTCCCCGTGGACACTCTCATTCATGGTCACTTCTTGTTCTGGGATGAAAACCGCTGCTGGAACAGCTTGAGTCACTTTAAGGATAAGAGCCAGGGTGAAGAAGTCAGCCGTGAACGGCAAACTTGAGGCAGCTGCTCTTGATAACCATCTTCCTTTAATCCTACACCCCCCCCATCCACTCATAGGACAAACAGCAGTATTAGTTTCTTTATCTGTGGCACCTATAGGTCACACAACATCATGGAAAAGGGCATTGCATGCAGCCTCACAGGCTCTGAGGTGTGCACACATCTGGTCTTGGACACACTAGCAACCACATTTATGACCACTTACACCCAACAATAAAAACCAAAAGTCATAAATTACCTCTAAATAGATGTTTCAGATGAGTGACAAAGAGCCATAACCAACTTAATGCAGGACCACGCTTAGGCTGAAATCCTTATTTACCAACCTAAATGCAACTAAAAGACATGAACACAGTTGAAGGCACAAGACATTTGCCTTTGATTTTGATTTTCACCCACTCAGACCGTACCAAACACAAATAAGAAAAAGGAGCACTTAAGCAGCTAATTTCTTCCATTAAGGAAAGACCATACGGTGGGCAGTGCCTATTAAAGCAGCTTCAAGACAGAATTATGTAACAAGAAACAATATTGTCTCCCCTCCCCTTGCCTACATCAGCTCAGCCCCTAGTTACTGTGCAAACATGGGAGAACACCTGATAGTGAGACCATTGCAACTTAGAACAGAGTCTTTCTGACAATCACCGGAGCTGTTACATCAGAAAATGAATATGCTTTTTTTTGTGTTCACTTTAATCATTTCTAAAATGACTGATAATTATGCTTATTGTAAAGTAATTCCAGCTGCTAGAAGACTACGGGTAATAATTGTCTGAAGAGCTTCTAAATGGACTGGATGTTTCCTGCCGCAATGACCACTTAGCATCAAGTAGCATCGACTGATTTCCAAAGTGGAATGTCTGTTGGCAACCACTGGGATGAATTTATAAACTGTTGCCTGGTTTCAAAAAAATCGATTCAGCCATGGAGAAATGGCTCCACTGACATCTCTCTGGTTTTGACCTAAACTGCTCCTTCTTGGACCATGATGGACATGCTGTTGCAGCCAAGGAAATGCCAGAATGTAAGGACTGCTCTTTCAGGTCATGCTTGTATGATTTTTTCCTGAGCTTAACTGGATAACAGCACAATTTAAAAGAATGTTATTATAAATTTAGCCCTATATTGTTTTTTGGCAACCTAAGTGTTGTGATTTACTGCATTTTTTTGCAGATCAAACTCAACACAGCAACTTAGAAAAAAAATCAGAAGAAGAGGAAGTTTGGATTCTCATTTCCTGTGAGAGCACGGATTATAAATGCCAATAAAGAAGTTAACTGACGAGGGTGATCCTAACAAATTGCTCACATTTTAAGAGTACTTAATGGGGCATGCTCATACTGTTGATTAAAACAAAAAGGACATGAACTGGAGCCAACAGATGCATCACTCTTACACTGTGGGAACATGCTGATGCTTCATTTTACAGACCATTAGGTTAATTACTCAATATACTTTTATTGCGAATGCATGGAGACCTTGGAGCAGCAGTCAAACACCAGCGGCCATGGCCAAATGAACAGAGAGGAGGAGGCTTTGATTAAGACCATAGTGCCTATCCTGGACGGGTTGATTTTGGTTACAGGCCTGGTTGGCCAAACCCTGGTCATCACCATTCTTACCGGCAGGAGGAGGAAAGAAAGTCAACCTCCGCACGGTACAGACACCCTGCTGTTGGCCCTAAGTGCTGCTGACCTGTTGCTGCTGCTCTGTCTGCCCTTCCACACCTCTGCAATCACTCTGGGCTTCTGGCCTTTCGGCAGCTTACTGTGCAAGGCCATCAGCTTTCTGGGCGTGGCCTGCTCTGCTGCTTCTGTCTTTACGTTGGCAGCTTTGGCAGTGACACGTTACCTCACAGTGGTTCACCCCACCTGGGCATACCGATCGAGAATGCATCGACGTATAAAGCTGACGGTTGCTCTGCTCTGGGTCCCTGCCTCGGCCTTGGCTGCACCGCAGTTTGCTTTCCGCACAGTTACGGCGTCCAGCTCTGTGTACTGCTTTGCCTTTCTGTCAGACTTCAGCCAGCTGGTGTACAGCATTGCCCTCTTCTTGTGTGGCTTCGCCCTCCCACTGGGCATCATCGTATTGATGTACTCCAAGATCTACTGTTTTCTACGACATGCACGGCTGCTGGGTAACGCTCCTCAACTGGAGCGCTACCAGAGCCAGGTCACTCACACTTCAGCTCTCCTGGTCCTGGTCTTCACGCTGCTCTGGCTTCCCTCCTATGCTCTAATGTTTTCATTCATCGGTGGAACGATAACAGGCTCAACTGGATACAATACCATCGCCATCCTGGCCAGACTGCTGGCATCCTCAGTAGCAGTGGTGAACCCTGTGCTGTATGGGTTTATGTCTCAGAAGTTTAGACGAGACTTACTAGAGCTGGGGAGAGAGCGCTGGGCACTGTGCAAAAGCTGTCTGGTTGGATGCCCTCATGTGATAAACAGAGACACGGTGCAGCCCTTTGAGCTGGACACAACCACAGAAGGAGGACAAAACTGACTCTGTATCCAAAAAAAAGGAAACATCACTACCTCATATTCATTTAATACAGGTAATATGTATTTAAGAATTAAAATATTGATTATAATATTTAATCTTATCTGTTTATAATATAATGTACTTTCCATGTACAGAAAGTATGCAAGAATAAAGTGATACTCTCAGTGTTGTTCAGGGACATGTATTGCTATTGTTGTGATTTAAATCTGGTTAAACTCTTCATATGAGCAATGGCAACTTCATTTTGTTGGTTTAAATATAAAAAAAAGCTTGAATCTATACAATGGGAGATTACATTTTGATTGTAATTCAAGTTGATACTTGGTTATAAGGTATTTTTGAAAACTATTTCCTTGATGGATTACACTAATTCAACCTGAGCTGCATTAATTCCTCTTTGCATAAACAAATTCTGTACCTGGATGAAAAACAAGCCTTTATTTTCTAACCTTTTTTCAAAGAGTGCTTTCAATTCAACATCAATAAAAATACTACCCTCATACACTCTGTTTGTGTTTGTGTCTTTTCAATTAAAGAATGAAGGTTTCATTTATAACTTGGTAAAAACGGCTTTGGCTTTTAAATGTGCTTCTGTGGATGGAGCTCACAACCTATTTGTGAATCAGTTAAAGTGGGATTTAAACGACACTTCAGTGTGGCGGCAAACAAAAGGCACAGTTTAAGTGGGTGTTTGTGGGTGCCAGTGTGTCTTCTTCAAGTGGCAGCCCTAAGTGATGTCGATCTCTTCTAGGAGCAGCTGTGTGTACATTACAGTGGATCCATCAGGGTGCGTGTCAAAATGTGTGATAATGGCTGTTTACAGTGTCAAGGAGACAACATGCAATTATAAATGGACAGAACTGGTACAATAAGCAAACACAGCTGAAAGTCATGCAGACAGAGTGAGAGGAGCTCAAGAGAGTTTGTGAATATTCTGTGGTGTTGACAAGAAATTACGAGATTGATGACTCCATACTTACTGTCAACCACTATCTTGCGGTCTGTGCCGTCATCATTGATCTGCTGGATGTTGCCAAAGTGGATGTCGCTGAAGAAGACGCGGTTGGCTCCCTTCCCTCCACCGCCGTGATAATCAAAGCTGAGGGCGATGACGTTCCTCATGTGGTCGGGGTCCTCAAACGGCTTTATCGGCGCGTTGAGGTTCGTCTCGTCTGACAGGTGGATGCTCTTCAGAATAGTACGTTCAGAGTACAGCAGGTATCCGTCATAGTCACGACAACTGCGGTTGTCCTCTGCCAGCATGCCGTGGGCACACGCGCAGGTGCGCTGCTCGTTGCCACGGTAAAGACACAGCTGTTCACAGCCGCCGTTGTCTTTGCAGACGTTGGTGCCTGGGGAGAGGATGACAAAAAGTTTTTTGTTAAACAATTTATATGCAAATACAGGCTTACATGATGACATTGATAATGTGATATATGTGTTGAATTACTATGTGTGTGTGCGTGTGTGTGTGTGTGTGCACGCACGTGTGTTTGTTTTGTGCATTGGTTCACTTAAGATAGCCAACTGTTATTGTGGTTGAATTTCTGGAAAATGTAATAGTTTGAGTTTGTGCTCAAGTTTAGAATTGTGCGTCTACTCTTCATTCCTACCTTTCTGCCTGGCTCTGTTGAAAACCTTGATGTCTTTCAGCTGTACACCAATGCCAGTCCTGAGCTGCACAGCATCCGTAGAGTTGTCTTTGCTGCCCCTCTTAATGGACCCATTGGCATGAGTTCTAAACAACAGGGTACAACACTGCGAGTCAATTAACGGCACAAAACACTATGAATCCTTCCACATGATTTCAAAGCTGTCATGCATAAACGACTATGATTAGATAAGGATGCCATGGAAAAAAATAGATGGTTCAATAAACAAGTTAATTAACCACAGTACTGACCTGTCACTCCAGTAGATGTATTCCTCAAAAACAGACACAGCAAACATGTCCATGTTGTTGTTTGCCAGCACCATCTCCCTGTTCTCTCCAGTCTCCAGGTTAATGCGCTCAATCTTGTCTGTACGGGCATCACACCAATAAAGCAGACCCTCCTGTAGAGAAAAGGAGTACAAATTCAACCTCAAATGCATGCGGGTGCTGTTACACTGCTGATGTAGAAACATATACAGACATCATTATTGTAATGCTGGTTTACTTTGAAGCCTTAGTAATACTTGCCTTATTAATGCATGCCTAACGCTAAATTATATTATAAATAATACACACAGAAGAGCCATCTGAAGAAATCAATATTAAATCTTATATAATTCAAATAAACCAGAACATGTGAGAACTATAATTGTGGCTTCATTTAGTCGTGATAATTAAAAAATTCCAATTTAGAATAAATCGATGAAACTAATGGTTATATAATTAATCGCCACTGCTATTTAATCTTCAAAAAAACGATTCATACTTTTCTAGCACAACAAAAAAGCTGAAACATCTTCCAGTCTTAGGGAAAAGTTGCAGTATTGTTCAAGTTAAACTTGGGAACTCTGCCTGGTAGTGACAAAATAGTTGATAAAGGTCTTAAATGCTGATGTCAGCTGTGCAACTTACATCGTAATCAATGGAGATTCCATTGGGCCAACTGATGCTCACATTGACCAAGACCAACCTCTGGGTGCCATCCAACCTAGAGCGCTCAATACGAGGGTACTGACCCCACTCGGTCCAGAACAGATACCTGCACACAGGGATGATTTAAAGGTGCATTTCAGAGGAATTTAGAAATTCTGCAGCACGGTTAGAATGCAAAAGCCTGAAGTCGACATTATGAAAGAAGGCAAGAAGCATTACCCTTTGACAGGATGGACAGTGATGGCCTGGGTTTGTCCAGACCCTGGGAAATGACTACATAACGGAAGGAGCCATTCAGCCTCGCCACCTCAATTACGTCAAAGCCCTGGTCAGTCCAGTAAATATTTCCTATAAAGTAACAGGGAAGCAAATAAGCTTGATGGTCCTAGTGTGATTATTTAATACATATAAGTGGATTAAAATATTATTGGAAATGTATTATGGTTAGACCTGCTATCCAGTCAACAGTAATGCCCTCCACCCTGCCGATGCCATTGGTGACCACATCTTCCCTCCATGTCTGGTCTCTCTTCGCCCTGCTGATGGTGCTCAGGCCCATGTCCACCCAGTAGATGGTGTCATTTTCTGAAAAAACAAAAAAAGGCCTTTTGTGTCACCCTTTGAGCACTCACTTGTCAGAGAGAATGTCAGCTTTAAAATGTCACTTAAGCAAGTCAGTGATGTCCCTCAGTGTTACTCACCAGCGTGGAAGTCGATTCCAACAGCCAGAGAGGTGCCAGACACCGGCACCAAGGCGTCAGATTTGTCCGCAGGGTCAAGTGGGATTCCTCTGATTCCCTCATGAACAGAGTACAGCAGGAAAGAGCCCATACCTGCACACAGACAGCACAAAAAAATTCTGTTTTTAGGACACACTAGATTCCTTCTGTACGTGTGATTTTATCTATGAAGCTTGTCTTACCCTCACAGGACTGCTGTCCAGTCTTGAGGCTGTATCCAGCAGTGCACATGCAGGCCCTGGTTGTAGGCGAGGTGGGCAGACACAGCTGGGAGCAGTCTCCATTGTTGTTACTGCACAAGTTGATACCAGCTGAAGAACAATGAGATAATCAGTGTGGCTCCAAAGGAAGAAAAACGTTTATCTTTTTTAGTTCAACACAAAATGGTCAACGTCAGAAAAAGGAGGTCAATTCAATTTGCCAGATTAGCTTTCTGACTCTTTCAAATGATACAGAATTATCAATTGCATGCAGTCGTACGAGGAAAACGTCTGATTGACTGAACAAACAGTTGGTCACAGAAGGCAGTATCCACTCCAATCTAGTTAGCGGTAATGCACACGAAACAGTTTGCCACCTGCCATTAAAGAACAGACGAAGAAGGTAAACTAAACACGAGAGAGAACAGTAAATGGCAAACGCAGACCACACATAGGAGCTTGAAGACTTGCCGGTTATATTTTAAACTGAGTGGGAAAAGTTTGGGTTCCCTGTGGACTACAACAGCGATGGAGTGTGAGCGGTGGATTGGTCGAGGGCGGTGTGACAGCGTTGTTTAACTGTTGTGCGGTTTGTGCGTGGAAAGGCGTCAAATATGCAAATGCATATAAGAGGGTATCACCCACATGCTCCAATCACCGGAGCGAGGCAAAAGAGAACACATGTGTAACAGCTGATCCTCGCCGTTTTTAAAAAGCCTCTAGATGTAAAGGCAGACCTGGCCAAAGAAATTATTTAAGCTATTGTCATACACATTTCAACATCTATGCAACCATATGCAGTAGTGAGGAGCCCAGCTTCACGTATTTATTAAAGTGCTGGAGCCTCAGTATAATGTCCTCCCTGTGAACACACAAGCTAGTACAAGGTCACTGCCCTTTACAAGCTAATTATCTCATTTAGTTCCAAATGACGTTGAATGGAATAAATTGAAATTTGCACAACTATTAACCACTGCAACTGTGAAATCTGTTCAAAATGAATGAAAAGAAACACAGCACTTCACGTTTGAGCCTTTTGTTGCTTTATTCCTGATGTTCCAAAAGTATAGCAAACTGTGACCCATAAACCGAGGTATGTACTGAACCGTGACATCTGTGTGTCATTGCACCCCAACTAACAAGCAGAAATATTTTGGAGTTTTTTTTTACCTTTCTGCACATCCTCATCATAGATCCTCATGTGCATCATAGGGGAGGTGTTGTTCCGCAAAATCTTCCAGTTTCCTCCGTCCTTCTTGTCACATGTTCCTATCTGGTCAGTTCCCTGGTCGGCCCACCAAAGCTTGTCTCCTACAGGAGGGGATTTTTTTTTTATGCAATACAATTCACAAGGGCTTCAGGTTTTAAGATATTGACAAATGAAAATAAAGGCAGCAATTTTAAGTCATTTTAAAAATAGGAAAACAAAGTGGCTACATTTGAAACCGTTCATCTTACCCATAATAGCCAGGGCTGTAGCCTTGGTTAGTTTGCCTTTCACACCTTCCAGGGTCTCCAGTTTAGTTCCATCCAGCTGACAGCGGTTAATGGTGCTGTTCCCTGAGCTGATCCAATAAAGCTGCTCGTTTTCATAGTCAATGGAAAGGCCTACGTAGAAAGAGTATGACGCACTTATACGTTTACATCTCTTACAACAATATTTGTTGTCATTGCTTTTCGACCCGTAGTGTTAAATAGCTCATATTTTGTTGGTTATTTCTGGCAGTAGTGGGGTACGGCTGCTCACCTACAGGTCCCTTTTGATTGTTGAAAAGTGTGGTGTGGTTGCTACCATCCATGTTAGCCATGCTGACATTGTCGCCATCAGTCCAGTAAAGCTTCCTAAGAAGAAGAGTGAAAGTTTGACTGGCTGAAAGGGAAGAAGACAGGCTTTTCCAAAGAAACATTTAAATAGAAGGCACTGACCCTTCACCAAGTATTTTGTTTTTCTGACTA